TCGGGTAGTTTTTAATTATACGAAGCCAGATTAAATTAAAGAACTACTTCTCCAACCTTGTACCTTTCTCCAGAGTGCCGTGGTGCATTGTTTATTAATGTGGTTCAGCTGCATTACTGCCTGCTGCAGTGCTGCTCGTCCACCGGAGTTTATTCTCCCGTTAACTCGCGGCAGCGGCCGCTGTAAAGTTTTCATTGTCTGACTGTCACACAAGCAGCTGATAAATATCCCCCATCCCCATAAGTGAATGTGTTTTAGTCTGAAAGCTGTTTGGCATCACAACGCTGTTATGAAAGTTTCTCTGGCATTCTACAGGTGATTTTAGCATAGCAACCGAAGCTAATCAAATTGACTACTTGTTGCTATCATATTTTGGCATAAGCCGTTTTCTACACGCATATTTTACCGGCGTAGTTTTCGTTATGATTTTACTTGTGATGGCCACATGAAGCCCATGTATTGATTCCATCCGATAGTTGCAATAATACAAAACAAAAGGAAAACGTCTGCCTCTTCACAATGGTCAATAACAGTGAACGGATGGTCATTAAAGTAAGGTAAAAATAAACAGAATCGCACTAAGCCTGGTTAGTGTTGCCTGACTTTATATAAATGTTTTTATAAGTGTGTGGTCGCGTTATAGTCACTTTGCTCAGCGCTACTGCTTGTTACAACTTGTATTCGCCGACCTTGCCGGGTTGCCGAGTGGGGCCAGCTGAGAGAATAGACCAGACTCCAGCAAAGGTAAATTGTGTCTAGAGTGCGCCATCTAGTGGGATCAACTGAAATGTCGGTTATTGCAGCAAAAAGGCAAAATGAATGCGGTCTTTACTATAATTTGGAAAAAAATGTTACCAATATTCGGCGGGCCGGATTCAAAAGCCCAACGGGCCGTATATGGCCCGCGGGCCTTAGTTTGCCCATGCCTGCTCTAAAGGCTTGTAAGCAGCATAGAGGAAGTAGCATATGATTAACAAATCATCTTGACATCCATGCTGCTTTTTTTGCAGGAATACCACTGATGTTTTGTGACAAATAAAATGACAAGGAGCATTGAGGATATCAGGAGTGAAGTGATGAGTATGCTATTAAGAAGCAATTATTTGTATTCCACACAACTCTTAACTGATGTTCATGAACATTTGTACTATCATTGTAGGTATAAACCTAATATGCATGTGTAAAATAATAAATATAAACAGTGATTAATTAATTTTTTGATATCCCAATGTGGACTAGTGCATCAAAATTCAAATCGCAGTTAGCTTTCGCCTAGAGATGGTTTTCTACATACCTAATAAAAAAAACATGATGATGAAACCATGATCATTTTCTGGGGGGGGGTTTTCCAGTGATAATAAAATTACTATTTCAACTTGATCATTCCCTCTAGTGTCAGGAATCACATCACAATTGTAATATCAGTTAAAATAATTAGAAGTAGTTTTTTGCCAGATTTTGCACCCCTATAAAAACCCTCATAAGTTATAAGCAACAGCACAACTGACATAATTCATAAGAAAGGTTAGCTGAAAAAAATGAACCATCCCTTTTTTTTCTTTGATCTTTTATCAGATTGTTGAATAAACTTGACATAATATTGTTTTAGCAATAATTTAAATCATACAAGCCTATTTCTGCTGCTTTGAAGTGTACTGTGTTCTGTATCCTTTTCAAAGCTTGCAATATTCTTCTTGGCCAGACTGCATTGAAAAATAATCAGCCTTTCACTATTTAGTCTTATCCATGCGTGAATAACTGCCAACTCCGCCAATCAATTCAAATCTAATTTCCTTATTTGCAGAGCGGAATGATGAGTTGATGTGAAGCAGCTGCTCAGAACTTACTTACCTCAGAGCAACCTTCACTTACAGAAATGAAAATTAAACTAAATGCCTGTAATAATTGTGATTATTACAGGCATTAATAGCTGGCAAAATAACTTCCTCTGCCATAAGGAATGATCAAAACATTAAATGTGTGGAGTCTTACCGGCACAGAAGATGCGGAGTTGCTGAACAGGCGATATGATGTTGAGGTGCGTTGTGAAGAGGTCCACAAACGCACCGGGATAAACGACAAACACAAAAATGCCGAAGCCGTTTACTCGCACTTGCTCCCTAGAAAAAATATGACACATTAAAACAGTTCCAGAAGGGAAGGAGCATCAAAAGGCATTGAAAACATATTTGTTTTAACAACTGATATTTATGTAGGGAGGGATCCAAAATGAACAAACTATCTTCTGCCAAGGTTAGAGCAGTATTGGTTATTTCACAATATAAACTATTCTAAGTTACTTGTTGCCTATTCTTATTATTATTAAATAAAAAACTAGTAAAAGCCATCTTTTAATGGGCAACACTATTTGATCAGATGCTAAAGTGCTCATAATGAAACACAAATATTTGGACAAGTTCAGTGAGTATTAATTGAATAAATTCATTTATTCAATTAATTTAACATCAACTTTTTACTATCTAATGTCTATTGGATTTGGTTTACCGGTTGACATGGTAACATATTGTATCTGTACAAAGAAAAATGCATGTGCATGAATAAAAAAACTGAATTTCAATAAAAGGCCCTTCTTAATTATGTTAGGGAGGTGTGTGTGTGTGTGTGTGTGTGTGTGTGTGTGTGTGTGTGTGTGTGTGTGTGTGTGTGTGTGTGTGTGTTTTACCTCAACGCTGCCACAGCGTGGCCAAGCTCATGTATGACTCCGCTGAGCAGCAGGGCCATGAAGAAGTAGGCCAGCTGACTGGTGGGCAGATTGATACCGGGGACCTAGAGACACAGGCATGAGAAAAGAAACACACAATTATGACGCCTACGCCAGTCTCCTAAGAGTGAATCATTGTTTTTCCTCTTTGATGCTAAGAAAAGTTCAAAATGATTTGAATCCCCTTTTAGGAGGATATTTGATTAAACTATGATATGTAACATACTGTATCTAGGCTGCACATTTGTAAAATAAACACAAGGTTCTTAATACCAAGATGTATTAAAATCTTTCTTCCTACTCTTTTTTGTTTTTCAAATGTAATGTTTCAAGTTGTGCTGATGCTGTGGTTTTCTGTGTGGTCTGCATTTTTCTTCTCCCCCTGGCAGTGCGCTGCATTAACTCCAGGCTGAGTACTCGTTTATAAATTGCCAACTAATAGCTTCCCATGAATACAGAGGTCCACTGGGGGCTGTGCTCACATTAATGCATGGCTGTTTGAAATGAAATAAAAGTGAACATGAGAAATGTGCTAAATAAGAGCCCTTGTCATAATTGGGGGCATTCTTCACACTATCATTTTAAAATCAAAGGCTTTGTAGGAACTTTCAAGGCCATTTAACGCTCTGAGCTGCAGTTCATCTCCAGTTAGACCCTGTAGCATGAACATAGATCCACACTGCTTTACAGGTTCAGTCTGTACATACCACCACCTGCAGGGTCTGCTGATTCCCCATCCGGGGGTTATCTGAGGTCATCTGAGCAAGGGTCTGCTGCAGCGTCCTGATCAGCAGCACCACTGATCCCACCATGGACACTACACCAAATACCAGACCACTGTTGAACCTAGGAGGAATATAAAAGATGGAATAGTGCTCAATCATTATGATTTGGTCAAACTTTGTGACCCTATACTGGACATAAATGACTCAATTAAAGCTCGCACAGAGACAGAGGCACAGTATAATATCAGGATTTTGGAAGACTGGCCCACTTGTCCCCTGATGAGAAAAGAGGAACCAGAATCATCACTGCAGTACTTCAGCAGACATTATGTTGAGTGATAGGTATAGCTGAACACTATGTTATGAGTGAAAATGAAAGTGTTTAGTAGTTTTGAAAGGTAAAGGCGGAGCCACCCCTAAGTAAAACTTCATTGGTGCAAAATTTGTTAGTTTCTGAAACTTATAACCTTTTTTATTAAAAGGACTCTATTTACCCTGGAAAGCCTGATGAGGACATTTCATTAATTATATGGGAAACTATCTATTTGTTCAGTACATTTTTTCATCATAAGCACCAACCGGAGGATATATGATTGGTGAGAAGATGAAGACACCAGTGCCTTTTCTAAAGAGTTAATTGAGCTGTGTTAGAACGACCACATACCTAATCACCTACTGTACTATGTGTATACTATTTAGCATATTTTTTATTAAATATGTTTAGTTTGTATCTGAGTTTGCTAAATTATATTCGTTGCATATTGTATGTTGCTAGAGCTTCTTGACCTCTCCTGTTAGATTTTTTTAACTTTCTGTTTGAATTCTGTTTGTATATTTGTGTAATAAAAAATATTATCTGTGTTATACTGAATCAATAATTAAAAAAATTGCGTAAAGGGGGACATATCATGCTATATTTGCACAATATATTGTAGGGCCATACCTATATAAAGTATATAAATAGTTTTTTTTTCAAAATACCAAACCAAGATCCTCGCACTTTTAGTCCACTGCCTCC